GTGAAAAAGTCACACTAAAGGACCACAATCAACTTCTGGGCCGAAACACCCTTCTTGATGCGCTCCAACGCTTCCTGAATCTGATCCAACCCCTTACCAACAACCACAGGTTCAGGAGCACACTTGTATTTGCCCGCTGCCAATGCGCCAGGCAGGAAATGCTCGTATATGGCACTTCCTACCTCGTTCTCCATGACATCGTCTCCCCAAATGAATTTATAGCCGATGCCCTTGACTTTGCAGTTCACCATGGTCGAAACCTTGAACCAAAGGAAACGCGCGATGAATGACACCATGTTCATCCCTGTAGGAGGGATCTGGCTGGGCATGGGAAGAGATGCTTGTGCGATGAACTTGACTCCGGATGAAGCTGCCACAATCTTGATGCAGGCTTCCATAGATCCATCACCGATAGCAACGCTGCCAGCCAACTCTGAGCCCTTGAGTACGTCGATAATGTCTTGGACTACCGTCGCACTGTGATAGTCGAAAGCGTGGGTGGCGCCCAGGCTCTTGACGAAGTTGAAGTTCTTGGGCGATGCTGTGGTGATGACTTCGTACCCAGAAGCAGTAGCAAGCTGAATGGCGTTGGCGCCAACACTTGTTGAACCGCCCCATATCAGAACAGTCTTGCCTTTCTTTTCAGACTTGAGTGAAGGCAAGTCCAGCGCCAGGTAGGTTTTCATGTACAATGCGCATGCAGCCGTCGAGATGGCGAGTGGGAGCACACATGCATGTTCATAATCAAGGCTATCCGGTATCGCGGAGACGAGGTTTTCGCGTAGCACAACGTATTCTTGAAATGCGCCTTCGCAGGACCGATTGCTTCGTTGGTCGATGCTCACGGCATCACCGAGTACTCGGTCGCCGGGGTGGAAGCGTGTGACTTTGGATCCGACCTCGACTACTTCGCCTGCTACGTCGTGGCCGAGGATGAAGGGATATTTTATCCACGGCATCATGTTGTCGCCCATGGCTTGCTTCATGGCTTCAACAGGGTTGATGGCGATGGCTGCTGATTTGACGACTACCTCATTCGGCCCGGGTGGTGTGTAGGGTGCCTCGCCAACATGCAACGGAAACACTTGTTTGCCCGCAAGCCAAGCGGCCCTGTTGGTGGGTGTCATTTTCGAAGTCCAGAAATCTAGCGATCACGGACAGAGAGGTGGTTCCAGTAATATAGCCTGGATTGGAAACAAAATTGTATGATGGTATAACACAACAAGCTGTGTAGGGTTCGCCCACTATTTGGGCGTGTTTCGTTGCGAGACTTAACCTGACGAATGGCTCAACAGGAGAAGTCAATTAATTCAAGAACTTAATAATGGCGAGGGTAGATAAAGGTAGGAATGAAGCAGGATGGATATCGATCAGCAGATGGGATGCATCTACGCATATGTACTCCCTCATCATAGTGTCGCAAAATGGTACACTTTCAATAGTCGGCCCGAAAGGAGCGGTAGTCGCGACTGGCGCAAGACTTACCGATTTGGTCTACAAGAACAGGCCAAGCCATTGGCCCGGAGTAATCTAACCACTTATCGGACTTCCAAGATGCACCGTCCCGGTACGTAGTAGTGTGCCCGCTGACTATGGTCACCAGCTGTCCAATTGGGTCAAATGATGGACTTTTCAACATAGATTGTCGCGCTTATTTCCTACATGAAAGAAGAAACGTTTTTCAGGATTCGAGATAATCCTTGTACGACTTTACGGTTTCGATGACGGTGCTCTTCAAGGGAAGAAACTCTCGTCCAATGAGAGCCTTCGCCCTCGCCGCATCTACCTTGTACACGCCGCCCTCGGGATACCCAGCGATATGCCATTTGTCTTTCGCCGGCAGCCTTTCGCGGAGTTCTGGAAACTGTTCGTATATGATCTCTATTACATCCTTGATGCACAGTTGCTCTGAAGACGTGAGAAAGACGCGTTCGCTAATACCGTTTTCCTCTTCTATTGCCTTTACATGTGCAAGAGCAGCGTCCGTAACGTTGATCCATGTGTAAAGCCCAGTAGGGAAAATCTTACCATCAAGAAGCTTACTAAAGATTTCGTTGGAAGCATTTAGCGACTCCGGTGGATAACCTGGATACCGGACCATTGGCCCAAAGATACCAGGAGGAGTGAGGGTAGTCAATGTGAAGCGAGGCTTTTCTCGATCCATAAACTCCCAAGCAGCACGTTCGGCAAAGGTTTTGCTGGCACGGTATCCAGGAATCCAGCTCGAGTTATCGAGTGCCTCTTCCAGTGTGATTGGATTCCAATCCGCGACGGTGTACGTGTGCCCCGGCCAATCGCCCTTTGAACCATCGATCAAAGCAGCCATGGACGAAACATAAACTACGCGCTTTACGGAAGGCGCTAAGCGAACTACAGAGGAGAGCAAGCCAGTTGTTCCAATGATAGAAGGATCCAATAGTTCTGTTTGGACATCATTGCAGCTTCGCACGTTAGGACTTGCTGTGTGAATTACTGCGTCGAACACGTGGTCGCCCTGGAACACAGAGTCGAAAGAACCGTGCTTTGCGATGTCGGGCACAATGAAGAAGTCGAGCTTCTCTTTTGGTAGAGTTGGATGCAGAGCTTTGATGCGATTGACTCTTTGTTGGCTGCGAACGGTTGTAACTACGTTGTGGCTAAACCAACCGCTATCAGCATGACTTCGTGAGATATGATGAAACAAAGAGTTTACCCGCGTTCAAGGAGATGGTTGAGAACATGAGCGGCTAGAAACCCATTTCCTCCAGTAAGCAGAACATGCATTCTGCGATAGGTTGGGCTGGTATGGCGTCTCGACGAGGGTATCGGTATACGGGATGTTCGTAGTGACACACAAGTCGAAAATCAGGAGGGTAGTCTGGCATTAACTCGTTAGTTTTGTTACTTCGAATTCAGACTACAAAGATCACAATCAGTCATAGCGATACAGAAATCTCGTAGTTTGATGTTCGGCCCTTGTCAATTGATACTCCGAGGGAGTAATAGTGGGCCCGCAAGCCAAGCAAAGAGTCCTGCAATTATCGACAGAGGGCAAAACTTACTGAATTTGCCCTGAAACGACCGTTTCAAAAAGAACTCCGCGCATTCATTCGCACGGAAACGGTGTCCTGATCTCAGTTTTTTAACACACGATACGGAGTTTCTATCGGCCTTGTGTTCCGGCGGTTTGTATTATCAGCTTCTTTTCCCTTGGCACTCATTGAGTAGTAACATAAAGACCTTAAAGCTTGGTAGTAGTGGAGTGGTTCTTGTCAAATACGAGAAGCATATCAACACGCTAAGCTTTGTCTTCACTATTGCCACAGCTTCGTTCCCATTACCTCATCCAGCTATATCGTCTCCAAAAATGGCAGCTTCAGCCAAGATTCCGCTTGTTGATCTGGCGCCATACTTCGCTGAAAATGCCACCCAGGAAGCCAAAGACCAAGTCGTCAAGGAAGTTTGCGACGCCGCCAGAACCTATGGCTTCTTCAGCATTGTTGGTCACGGCATTCCCCTCAAAGACCAAGACACCACCCTAGAATGTGCCAAAAAATTCTTTGATCTCTCTGCTGAAGAGAAGAAGGCTGTCTTCATTGAGAATTGTCTGGGAATCTCAAACCGTGGCTATGAAATGTACAGAGGCCAGACTTCAGAGCCAGGCACTCTGCCTGACATGAAAGAGGTGAGACCCATCTAGGCTGTTATTGTCAACTCTCCAACTAAACTCTCGTAGGGCTTCGTTATCGGTGCAGAGATCCCCAAGGACCACCCCGATGCCGGCACTTTCTTGACCGGTCCAAACCAGTGGCCCGAGTCTCTGAAATCCGAGGATTTCGAGAAGCCGCTTATGGAGTACCGCAACAAGATGGTCAAGCTTGCCGAAAAGGTGCTTAGAATTCTCGCCTTGGGTCTCCCCAAAGAATGGAACTGCTCACCTGATGTTTTCGATGAGTTCTTCATCGACCCATCCGGAAATCTGAGGTTGCTGCACTACCCGCCTCAGCTATCCACCGATCCTAAACAGCTTGGAGGTAAGAATACATTGTGCCTTGGCTAGAAAGTAGAGCTTAACTAACAATCAAAAAGCCGGTGCTCACACAGATTTCGGTGGAATCACTTTCTTGCTTCAACAACCCGGCTCAAAAGGTCTCGAGGTCTTTTACCCCCCTACCGAAAGCTGGGTGCCAGTGCCAGTCACTCCCGACTCATACGTAGTCAACATTGGCGACCTGGTTCAGAAGTGGACAGCTGGTTACTACCGCAGCGCTTTGCACCGCGTTATCAACTTTGGCGAGAACCACCGCTATTCCGCTCCGTTCTTCTTGAACGGTAACATGAAACTGAAGATCCAGCCTCTAAACGGATCTGGGCAGGAATTTGGCGTGCGGGACCATTTCATGTGGAGGTTGAAGACTTCTCTTGGTGAAGAGAAGAGCAAATTCCTCGAAAAGGATCGAACGGTTCAAGCGGTTGCAGCATAGTGTGGTTGCTAAGTCTTATCCATTGATGTTGAGGAGAATGTGTTCAAGTTAGCTTTGGAAGTCAATCGCTTTTTCTGTAGCCATACCAATTAAGTTCGTGCATACTATACGGAGGATTAGATCTTAGCAGGACCAAAAAATGACAGTGGTGGGTAATCCACATTTTCACATGGGCTTCTAGATGAATTCGATGAAGTGGCGATGATCATACAACAGGCTGCAGAAGGTAAAATTTATGGATGTTTATTGAGGGAATAGCAAAACTCTGAGCAACAGGTGCTTGTGGATATTGGAAGCCCACTTCTTTAGCATCTACCGTTTATAGGCAACAAGCAGTCAATATTAATTATGATCTAGTTTAGCTCTTCTATCCTCGCATTCATGATATACAATTTACGTGTTGAACTCGATATCTCTCTCTATCAACCCACCACGATATCCATTTAGGCCTAGTGATTACTGTTATTTTTAACGATGTATGCCCGATTCACCACCCTAGGAACTAAAAGCGGTACAAGCTCCATGACTTATCAGCCTTTAAGATGCTTTGGGCTTAGGCCTTACATCCTTCCAGCCCATCCAGCAACTTACAATGACTCCCAAAATTGACATGCCAGTACCGAAATAGAATGTAGTTCCTATGCTCTCACTGTATGCCCTCAGTAGAGACGGTAATTGTCCTGCATTAACAAGACCCCTCATCCGTGTTACACCAGCTTCAATGATCTTCTTCGAGTCGACAGCGGGCAAATCACTCTTGAGGTTGTTCTTCAACTCATTTGTAAAGATAGTCTGGCCAATAACAGTCATGAGAGCACCGCCGATCTGTTGAGAGAAGACAAAAATAGCGAGAGCTACGGGAACTTCGGTAGGCAGAAGGGAACTCTGTAGTGCAATCATCGGCTAGAAGATGTCAGTTATAAGAGTTACTGGACAGAGGCTTTGATGAAATTACCATCGGAAGGGCGAGACCTCTTCCGGTTCCGGAGATTAGTTGATATCCCACTAGCTTTGCAATACTTGTTGAAGTCGACACCGTGGTGAACAAGCCAGATCCAATAGAGTTCAATGCCCCGCCTATAAGGATGAAAGGCAAGTAGTAACCGAATCGTTGCACTACGTATTTGTCAGCAGAGCAGCCTACAATTTAGAAAGGTATCTTACCAAGCTTTCCGCTCAGGATAGTGAACACAATTTGTGTCATAATCGTGGGAAGGAAATTGTAGCCGCTTTGGAATGGTGTATCGGCCTTGACACCCTGGAAGTATAAAGGGAGATAGTACGCTGTCACAAACACTGTGCCCGAAATGATAAAGATAGTCGCGCAGCATGACCAAACGATCCGTTTTCCCAACATTGAGAAGGGTATTAAAGCAGACATGCCCTTCCGGTAGTTCCAAAAACAGAAGATGGCGAACATGACTCCGGTTCCGCAGAAGAGGCCAATGACTTCCTGGCTGTCCCAGGCGTATCGATTTCCACCAAAGTCTAGGACGATGAAAAACATGATCGCAGCGGGTCCAAATAGTCCAAATCCGATGAGGTCGAATTCTCGCATTGGGTGCTTGAGGACTTCCTTCCAGTGGGGTTTAACAAGGATCTCGGGAACGTTCAGGTACAGGAGGGCAGCGAACACAAGAGCACCAGCGGGAAGGTTGATGTAGAAGCCTGTGTTATGTCAGTAATGAACACGATGGGGAGAGAAGCACACATACACCAGCGCCATGATACGAACTCCGTGATGGCTCCTCCAATAAGGGGCCCGCTGGCAGAACCTAGGTTTCCGACTAGTTTTGTTAGCAAATGGATTGTATGTTAGCTTGCCCAGAACTCACAGGCCATGAAAAACCCTAGCATTCCAGGCCGACGTTCAGGAGGAATCGAGGCGTGTATCATCGTGAAACCTCCGTTCATGAGTCCAGCACCCCCAAGCCCAGCAATGAATCGTCCAGCAATCAACATGGCCGATGTTTGCGCTGCACCACAGATAGCAGACCCAATATTGAAGATAGTGAAGAAACCTAGGAAAATCTTTTTCGAGTTGAACCGAGCGTACATCTTTCCGGTCAGAGGCTGGAATGAAGCACTAGCATGCGTGTTAGAAGGATACCAGGTATTAGAAGAGAAAACACGTACGCGCATAGCTGGTAAGCGGCTCCATACCAACCCACGTCAAGCAGGGAATTAAACTCGTCGGTTATATGTGGGATCGCCTGGAAATCTTGTCAGAAATATTCCATTTTCTGCCGACTCAACGGTGGACTTGCTGTAGAAAGAATCGACATGTCGAGCATCATGAGGAAATATACGAGCGTCATCGAGATTAAGAAGGCCCACCTATATAGAGGCGAGAGGTTAGCGTATTCAAATGCAAACACGGGATCATTCTGAGACCCCAAGAGCCAACTATGGTCTGTTGATGTCCCATGGACATTATCAGATCTTGGGGACCACCGTTTCTCTGTACTTACAGTCGGAATCCGGAGAGATAGGAAGGTGCCGGAGGGTCAGCAACAAGCGGTTTATCAAGCTCAGAGGTGGTTTTGCTCGCTGCAGAAGAAGGCACCTCTTTCATTGCCAATGTGAACTGGTTGGATGAGTCGTCCACCATCGCGTTGATGTCGTAATCCCATATCTTGTGCGATCGATCATGAATTTCCTGGGCAATCTTCTTGTGATTGGAGAGACACTCCGGATTTTGGAATTCGTAGACCTCACCAATGACTCGACTCGTATCCATGACCCACTGGGACCGATCATAACGGACATTGTTATAAACCTCGAGGGCAACACGGGAAGCTGTAGGACGCAAAGCCTTGGGGTATTCTGACACATGCTGCAAAAGGACGGCAAGAGCGAGGCAGTCCTCAATGCCACATCCTGCACCAGCACCGTGGTGGGGGGAAGAAGCATGCGCTGCATCGCCCGCTAGGCAAAGACGACCATTGGCATAGGAGGGTACAGGCTCTTTGCGTGTGTCAAACACTGCCCATTTGTCCAGATTTTCAGGTAGGAGAGCCATGAGATCCCGGACCACTGGGTTGAATTTTGAGAACGCTTCAGTCGCCTCGGCCTTTGTAGCTGGAACAACAAATTTATTATCTGGTGCCGACCACTCGTCAGGGTCCGTGACGAAAGCAACGACGTTCAGGATCGTGTTGTTTGCCACTGGAAACGTCAAGGCGTGAGCACCAGGACCACAGTGCATGACACGGTTGCTGGTCTTGAAGATTCCAAGAGCGGCCCTAGCCTTATCCATTGGTACAAGACTTCGAATAGCGTATTTGTGGCTATAGGAAGGAGTGCAAGCAGGGTGGTTGTCTCCAAGAATAATTTCTCTCATCTTCGAATGGATCCCATCGCAACCAATCACTGAGGCTTGTCAGTACCTGATTCGCTTACACATTTGGAAGATTTACCAATGTCGGCCGTCGCAGTCGTGCCATCTTGGAATGATAAGTGAATTCTCTCATCTTCATCATTTTCAATCACAGAGACGAGATCCTTGTCATGTTGAATGTATTCTGATGGAACCAGTTTTACCATCTCAGCCAGGTAGTCAGATCTTCGACATCCTTCAAACCCACGCTCGCCCAGATACAATTTAAGAATAGTTTCTTCGTGTTTCGGATCTTCCTTGCTGCTGTGGTAGCCATCTAGATAGTAGAAGTAGTCCTCGTCATTCTGCGCGGCAACCTTGCGGAACGCGGCGTGAAGGGCCGGGTTCAGCGCCGTCATGGCCCGTTCAGCATTTGGAGTGAAGCCGATTCCAGCCCCAACCTCGCGAAACGTATGCGCTCGCTCATATATGGTGAATTTGATATTACGCTGGAGAAGGCCAGTCGCGAGCGCAAGGCCAATAATTCCACCGCCAATGATCGCGACCTCGAAATGGCCTTCATCGGAGACCTCGACGACCTCGACCTTGGTGTTGGGTTGGACCATTTTGCGACTCTTCGTGATATCGCGAAACTGCTGCTTGGGGTTCGGCTCAGAGTTTTCAGGGATGGAAGGTGATGATGAGTGCATGAAGGGGCGCATAATAGGGTACTGTTTCTCCTGCGCGTACGTGCTGGGCACGCTTGTGCCACGGCGCCATACCACGATCAGATACTCCGGTGCCCGTGTTCAGTGCATGTTCGGGCCAACTATCCGTTGTATGATCGAAGAATCGATCGAGTGCAGATGCCGCATGTTGGGATCGGTGACAGTCGGAGGCACAGGTGTGGAGTCCGGCGGACTTCGGAGTTTCTTTATCCAACCTACGATTACAGCAGTAAGGCCGACGTATAGTCCAGAGACTTGGATCCAACACTAGAAACAATGAATGAATGGATTACCGGATTTAACTACAAATGAGGTGCCTTAACAATTGAAGACATCGCACATCAATCATCGACTTCACCAACCTTCTTTATTCTAAGCAGCAAATTCAATATGTCTGGCTTACCCCGAGGCGTCGATGTCCTTGGACAGTTTCCTCAACTCAAAACATACAACCACGGGGTCGCTCTCTTTCCCTGGCGCGAAGATCTCACCCAAGAAATAGTCATCTCTGCACTTAGAGAAGCGACTGGCAAGATTCTGGCCGCTATCCCATGGCTCACTGGGCAAGTTGTTCATACAGAAGGTGAAAACGGAACTTCAGGCACAATCCGTGTCGAACCGTGGCCAACGGATATTCCCCCTCATGGCCTCCTTAAGATCAAAGATGCAACCGATCTTTTACCATCATATGCTGAGATGTTTGCTGCAAATGCACCATTCTACATGCTGGATGGAAAGGTACTCTGCCCATATCCAGGATTTCCTGAGCGATACGATACTGCAATAATTGGGCCTGCACCACCAGCTATGATCCAAGTCACATTTGTCAAGGGCGGCTTTATCTTGACATACACGAATCAACACAACGTTGTAGATGGAACCGGTCTCTTCACAATCATCACTCTCCTCTCCGCAGCTCTTCGCGACGAACCTTTCCCAGAAGATATCATTGCCGCTGCAAACCAGGACCCGGGTGATGTGATTCGTCTCTTGGATCCATTTGAGCCTATCCTCGATCACAGCTGGCTGCTCAAGCCTGACCCAGCACCCGAGTTCGTTCCCGCACGTCCCGGTGGAAGGTGGCAGAACTTCCTCTTCCGTAAGGAAGCGCTTGCAGACCTCAAAAAGCTTGCCGAAGACCCCGTTGGATATGATCCGGATGTCCCTTTCATCTCTCCTAATGATGCTATTTGCGCCCTATTCTGGAAGTCTCTAGCCTCAGTGAGGATAAAAACTGGATTGGCTCCCTCGACAGTATCGAAATTCAATCGTGCCATCGACACACGACCGGTTCTTGGAGTTTCCCCTGGTTATCTAGGTCAGATGGTGTACATATCTCCATCCCGCCTCACATTCCAGGAGCTTGTCGACGCACCACTTTCGACTGTTGCCACTAGACTTCGCAAGGATCTCGACGATGTGAACAACGCTTTTTCTGCTCGCTCTTATGCCACCTTTGTTGACTCTGTCGATGATAAGATGCAGCTTATGTATTCCGGAGGAATGAATCTCCAGACAGATGTTGGCCATTCATCAATGATGAATGCCAAGGTCAATGGATTCGACTATGGCATTCTGGGGAAATCAGACTTCGGACGTCGTCCCCACCTGCCATTAACAGTCAACACGTTTTATATCTATCCTCAGGAAGCAAATGGTGATTATCTCATCCTTGTCTGTCTTCCAGACATGGAGTTAAAGGGACTAATGGAAGATCCTGATTGGAGTCGCTGTACTTACGTGATTGAAGAGAAATACTGAATGACGTCTCTGTAGTACAACGACACTCTCATCCTGTAGCATATCATAGTCTACGATAACTCGGAAGCCATTTATCACTTCTCGCTAAGGATTGTTATAAGAAGGTTTTTACTTTATGATTACAGCAGAATGAGTATTTAAGGCGGGACAGAAAAAACACATTCATCTTGAGGTACAGGATGATTCTCGAGATTACATAGTATAGAATCGGAGATGACCAAACATGAATTCTAGACACTTGATGTTTGACATTCTCTCCCAATAGACACTATGCTAGTAATCGGAATACTGTAATTGGAAATTAAATGAATCATAACCAGTAAATGTAGCGATCTGCAGTACGCTTCATTAAGATAGTACGATCTAGCGGCTGAGGTAACAGCCAATGTAGATGCAGCATATCTAATATGTAGAGCAGAAGCTGCGCGCCCAGTGCCCAGAAAACGCAGCCACGGTATCATATATGGGGAAGTTAATGAGAGTATAGGTAATAATGACAGGTCAGGTGGAAAGAATCGATTACAAAGCAATATCCATCTTAATACTTGAAGTGTATAAGTAGTCTCGAGGTTTAGGAATCGTTGACATGAGGTACTCTGTAGTCATAAGCTTGATATAACAAGCGAACTTCTACAAATTTAGTATAATTCGTATACTCCGTATACTTATTGTACATTATAGTATAGCTAATATAAAACTATATACTAAATTAAATTATAATATCTCCGCTACTATGGTAGTAAGTTAAATATTCGTTATAATTAGATTATTATATATAGAAGTTAGTACAGAGAGGTATTATAAAAAAAAGATATTCTTAAAAGTTATAGTTTTTAAACTAGTATAGCTAGGTATATATTAGACCTATTCCTGATTAGGCTAGCTTATTTTAAAGCTAAGAGGCTCTAGCTATATTTTAGATAAGCTGAGTATCTACTTAGTTAGCACGGCTAAGGTAAAAAATAGCTCTAAAGTAGAGCTATAAAAAAATACTAACTTTAAGTTAGATTATCTCTTTATTTAGAGTATCTTTTTTCTTTACATTGATATCTAGTATATAATAGGTCTAAAAGACTAAGATTCTAGATTTTAAAGCTATAGGGTTAAAGGTTAAAAAAGATAAAACTTATTTTAATATAAACTATTCTTTACTAATAATTTAGTATTAGTAGCTAATAATACCTAGTATACTAGCCCTTAGCTTTTATTATCTATCTATAATAGCTAGGTAGAGAAAAAATATAGTTATCTATTACTTATTATAGAATAGTCTACTACTCTTTTATAATCACTAATTGAAATATTTTAATACTCTCTTTATTAAGCCTAATATTTAAAAAACTTATCTTTCTTTAATTTAAATAGTCTTTAAATAAGCTCTAAATATTTTCTATAGAGTTTATATCTAGACTATAAGAATAGTGTAGATAAAGCTTAATTTTATATCTTTTTAATGAGCTTAAAATACCATTTATATTATTAATTTCAAAGTTATATTATAAAGATTACTAATACAAAAGGTATTAGTATCTAGTATAAGATATATTATTTAAAATATTAATAACTATTAACGTAGCTTATAAGTGAGCTAATTACCTAAGTAAGCTAATTACTATCTACTAGCGCGTTAACGTTAACATTATAACACGTTATATCTTAAAAATAGTAATATCTATTAACTTATTCTAAATTAAATCTTCAACTTACGCTTTTAAATATCTAATTATATTATATTTAAAGCTAATGATACAGATGGGTGACATGAAAAAAGAGTGTTCCTAAAAGTTCTAGTTTTTAAACTAGTATAACTAGCTGAATATTAAATCTATTTCCAATTAGGGTAGCTCATTTTAAAGGCAAGAGGTAGTAGTTTAACCTAGATA